TATGGCAGTGAATGCTGGACAATATCCTCAAAGATGAAGAAGAGACTTGAGGCGACAGAAATGTTGGTTCTACAGAAAGAAGCTGAGGATACCGTGGGCTGAGCATGTGAGTGAAAACGAGGTTTTGGAAAGAATGGAAACAAAAAGAAATTCATACGTAACATCAGAAAAAGGCAGTTGACATTTCTGGGACACGTAATGAGTAAATGAGGGTTTTTGAAAATCTGATACTCATGGGACAGATTGAAAAAAAAAGAAGGTCAAAGGAAAAGCAGCGCACAACATACCTTATTGGCTTGAACAGGGTTTTGGAGAAATAACAAAAAGGTAAAAGCTGATTAAGAGCTACAAGTGACAGGAAGGTGTGGAGGGTCATGATCGTCTACGTTCTGAAGGGCACAGCACATGAAAGAAGAACATCGACCGAACTTGTGAGTTCTCTCTAATGAGTGTTTTGGGAAAAGCAAGTGGGATAACCCACATATCGTATGTCGACGTGTACATAAATGAACTTAATGGATTTAAAGTTAGAAAATATGATTTAAAGAAATGTCTATTGATTGATTGATTCGTTTTCTACGGCCTATCTATCTTTTCTAGAATATTTAAAGCTAGAAAATATTTTTGAGTTCTAAGAATTTGGGGGGAGGACATAATAATGGTGTAGTGATAAAAATCTTAATGATTAACCCATAGCCGAGCATATTTGCGCATAAATTATATTAATATAATCTAACTTTTGCTTACAATAATATATTTTCCAAACTTGACAAATATAAAGTGAAAATACGAATGAAACATTATTTTTAGTGGATACCCGTGTTTGAATAGACGCCCAGTTTTTTTAAAAGTGCTTATTACATCTACTGGTTTGCGCACCGAGAAAACTTAATGAAGAAAATTTACTCTCCGGCAAGGCTTTCACGAAAATCTGAACGAATCTGTGTGCATTACTTAAAGGGATGAATAAAGCCTTGCTGAGTCGTGACGCTGTCTGTAGCCGAGCAGTCTAAAACACGCCGGGCTAGACTGTGTTTTTTTTCCTAAAGAAGGGGACATAGGTTCGAACCCTCCGGGAGAAAACTTTTTTATTCCCTTTTCTCGGGTGCGCAGGGTGGTAGACGTAATACACACAATTTAACAAGCAGGATATCTATTCAAACACAGGTATCCATTAAAAATAACATTTGCGGTAAGACAGCCGGAAGCATGCACTCGCTAACACACAATGAAAGTGATAAATCAGTCTTGAATCAATAAAAGTGCATATATATGTAAAGTGAGAAAATAAACAGCCAATTGCCGATATTCCCTGACGAGTGGACGGGGTGATTGCTGGAGGGTCCGTCTTATTAAGTTTTTCTTAGCAGAGCCCTGTATGTTGTTCTTAAGCAACTCATGAGTTTCAAACGATACTTGTATGGAATAAAAAATAATTTCTAGTATTATATTATCTACATAAGTTATTGTCTTAATTAAATATACGTATCATAAAAGCAAAACTATGTAGATCGAATTTTTATATAGCTTCAATCAAATGAAAGTATTTAGATGCTAGTAAGTATATATTTTCAAAGCTATTTATTAGATTTAAAGGAACCTTTTATACCGAATGTAACTAATTCCTGATCTTATATTCTCTATATAATATATTTTCTTAATCAATATATGTGTAAGAAAAGCTTAAACTAAGGTATAACGAATTTCATGATATTTTGGACATAATTAGATGTCGATTATCTTTTCACAAAATTGTGATTATAAGGCACTTTGTGTATTTATTGCAAATGTGAATTATTTCACGCAGTCAATCTGCTTCAGAGAATTTAAAAACACTGCCAATTTCAAATCTTTTCATTTGTACCCTCTTTAAATAATGAACTATATTCGTATTTACGATCGTTATTGCAATCTCTTGTTAAAGAAGATAGCTTAAATATTCCGTGGTGTGAAAGAGTATTTTTTCAAAGCTATTTACTTCTAAAGAATGTAAGTAAATCCCAATATGCTTCATACTTTAAGTTTTTATATATGTGCGCCGAGGTAGATATAAAGGAAGCTAAAATCTATTTTTAGTCAGAGATACACTATCCGACAGAGCAGATATATTGTAATCTTACTTATTATAAAACCCAGGTTGTGTGTGTGTGTGTTCGTTTCTATATGGGATCGGATTTCCTACATTTTTCAACCGATTTCAACAAAACTTCACAGGACTACGTAAAATTACCCGGCGGTGGTTCTGATAGCGCCCAAAATTCGAAAAAACACAATTGTTTTTGCACGAAATCAATTTGAATGCACAGGTAAGTGCTATTTATGCAGATTTTTTGCAGTCTTTGGACGATGCTTTGTTACCGAGCCAGCAAAACAAAGCAGATGGTCCAGTTTGATAGCACTAACGCTTGGCTATTTAACAAGTACCAAATTGTTTGCAAGACTGTCAAAGCCGCTTGACCAGGGAACCATAAACGGGGGTACCAAGGGACAAGATTTAGCCCTCTGAAAACACATACACTGGCACAGTATGTACAGTTTTGGTTTGATTCAAATGAAATTTACGACACTTGGGGTTTTACTATCGCCTTTATGTGTATCAAATTTCAAAATTTTAGCAAAAATAATCCTAGCTGCACGCGGATCAATCTTTTTGTAACTTCCTTACACACACAACTGCGTACAGCCGAGTCCGCGTGTCGATACCGAGACTGCTGCAAGCCATTGGTCGCTTTCACAGAGCTTGACCAATCATCGCGCAGGATTTCTTACACGTTATAGCGCCCGCATGATCGCGCGTCAGCTTATGTGTAAGAGCGTTCAAGGTCAACCATCTCTATTGCGTGATTCAGGCGTGCTTTCACTCTTTTGCGTTTATTGTTGCCTGCGTGCACGCACTTGGCCGCATTTTATTCGCCTACTTCGGACACCGCAAGTTTGTTGATTACGTGTTCTAGCTGCTTTTTGTTTTATAGTTCCAACCTAACTACACACGTTAGCCAATTGTGCTAAAAACCCATTTCCTTTTGGATTTACTCTTGGTTTACCTTTTAAATTTCCACTTTTTTTAGTTTCCGAATTTCCTTTAGTAACATCTGAACTCATTTTACTAGGTCTTCCCTTTTGTGTCTACGTTAGCAGTGCACATTTTTTCGTTTTGGATTTGTCGAAATCTCTATTTAAGCTTTACCCCTTTGACGTTTTTTACTGTTTGGATGCCACCTAAAGGAAACTTTTGGGACGGCGCACGGCAGCTGCCTCCGCTGCTAGAGCAGCGAGGGCGATTGAAACCCTGAACAGACTTCTTTGCTTCTTTCACGGATGGCCTCGAGCTCAGTTGCTCGCTTATCTACACGCCACGCCAGGCTTTCAGTTGAAGAACGTTCACTTCAGAATTCACAGGACGCAGTTGAGGGCTTCACAGTCCCCAGCACAGAAGACCCTTCGTTATTTGAGGGAACCCACCGCCAAAGCTTGCTCCAGGGGGTTTAGGAAAGCCCCGAACAAACAACTTCTCGTCGTCTTAGGAATACTAGGGCTACAGCCGCCTCTAGAGCTTCTGAACAACCCCAAGAAACCGCTAATCGTCGCTTTAGAAATGCTCTATCTACCGCGTCTGCCAGAGCCTTAGAAAGCCCTGCACAGACCACTGTTCGTCGCGTTAGAAATGCCCGATCCACTGCATCTGCTAGAGCCTTAGAAAGCCCTGCATAGACCACTATTCGTCGCGTTAGAAAAGCCCGCTCTACTGCATCTGCTAGAGCCCTAAAAAGCCCAGCACAAACCACTGTTCGTCACGTTAGAAATGTCCGCTTTACTTCATCTGCCAGGGCTGCAGAAAACTCTGAAGTACGCCGTCAACGTCTCGAAAACATTAGCAACTTCAAGCTTCTTTGAATGGCGTAACTTCGCCGTCTGCATCATTTTGGTCAAATGCCGCATACAATTATGACTGCACTGTCAACTATTCCGCTAGGAGAGACGTACAAATAGGGACCATGGATAAAGTTTGCACTTTTTGCAAAGTAAAAAAGTGGGCCGGTGACCAACCTGGGCTTTGTTGCTCTGGGGGCAAAATCAAACTCCCTTCTTTAGACGAACCTCCCCAGCCGCGTAGTGACCTTCTGGGTACAACTTCGGAGTCAACGCATTTTCTTGAAGCAATACGGAAGTACAACTGTTGCTTCCAGATGACGTCTTTTTGATGCAAGGCTATTAGTGAGGGGGATGTATGTCTACTTTCAATGCAAGGCCAGGTTTACCACTTAATGGGATCATTTTTGGTTGATCAGGGAGAGCCACCTCAGTTTCTACAATTTACTTTCTCGCTGACTTCGACGAGCAGTTTATGGTTAGGGAGGGTGAATTTAACCACTTGCACAAGTGCCGTCAACTATTTCTTCAATTCGCTGTTGACATGGCTCCAAAAATGAAGTCGGAGAGGTTAGGATTCATTAAGTTAAACCAATCCAAACTTAGAACCGACTCCACATTCACCTTCGTGATGGTCTGCGTTCTGATGGTGACCCCGCAATCTCGGCAAACCGTGCATTTTGCCTTCCTCTTAAACTGGTTGCCCTCGATACATGCATGAAAGGACACAAGACGAAATGACCTATGTCAGTCATTACAGGAGGCCTGATTTGTTCGTCACGTTCACATGCAATCCGAAATGGGTTGAAATCACACGCGAACTTTTTCCAGGTCAGCAGTACTCACACCGCTATGACCTAATTGCCCGCGTTTTCCGGTTATAGCTGTGTAAGCTTATGGATTTAATCCTTAAAGAGCAAGTCTTCGGACGCGTTAAATGTCATATGTATACAGTGGAATGGCAGAAACGCGGTTTGCCTCATGCCCACATTCTGCTGGGGCTCAACGATAAGGTTGACGCAAACAAAATAGACGATTTTATTTCTGCTGAAATTCCGGTTCCTGCGCTGGATCCTTTGCTCCACGAAATCATTAAAACAATATGATACACGGCCCCTTTGGCGCGAATTATGAAAAAAGGTCATGTTGGTAAAGCGGCCCCACTTGCACAAAAGGGTTACCCCCGTAAGTTTATCTCAGAAACGCAGACTGCGACGGATGGTTACCCACTGTACAGCCGTAGAAGCCCCGATGAGGGCGGCAGAACTGTGACAGTTAAGGGGCACACTCTAGACAATCGTTGGGTGGTGCCTTATTGTCCGCTGATGTTCAAGACTTTTGGAGCCCACATAAACGTTGAATACTTCCACTCGGTTAAGTCAATAAAGTACATCTGCAAGTACGTTAATAAAGGCAGCGATGCTGCCGTTTTCGGTATCCGGCGCGACAATTGCGTTGACGAGGTGGCCGATTACGTGGCTGAACGCTACCTCAGCAGTAGCGAGGCCTTTTGGCGAATTTTGGGATTCCCCTATACGCCAAAGGGCTCCAGTCATTGTGCAGCTGCTGTTCACTTAGAAAATGGACAGAGGATGTACATCACTGAACAAAACGCCCAGCAGGTTGGGAAAACCCAAAACACAACCCTAACGGCTTTCTTTTTAAATTATGCTCAACAGATGCTTTTGCCAAACATTGATATACCCCCAAGTCCCGTCCCTACTTCGTGTGGTCAAACAACCGGTGGGTTCGGCGAAAAGGCTGGCAACCCTGTCGAGGGTTATCCTGATGTATGGTCTAACTCTTGCCTTGGACGCGTTTATACTATGCCCCCACCCACCAGCCAGCCAGCCAGCAGGAGTGCTTTTACCTCCGCCTTCTTCTTCATAAAATGGCTGGGCCAACTAGTTTCACAGATATTCGCACTGTCAACGGCATAGAGTGCCAGTCTTATAGAGAGGCATGCTTCCGTTTGGGATTGCTCGAAGACGAATCCTAATGGGATTCAGCCATGGCGGAGGGTGAACTTCTCGGAACGCCATCACGGCTTCGAACGCTGTTCGCCATTTTGCTTTTGCGATGCGAACTGGCTAAAGTACAGAGAATCCAGGTAAGAGGATGTGCTGTTCTCCCTTCAGCGTAACAGCCCAGGAGTTGAATGTTGTTTCACTGGCTTCATATTCAACAGAGCGCTGGTGGACCTAGATGTTGTTTTCGAACTATGAAGTGCCTTTTTACCAACTTACGGTTTACCACCACTGCTCTTCTCTCGGTTTTACGGTTCTGCTATGTGGTCGTGGCAGAGCCGTCTTTTGGGCATATGACGCAACTTTTAGTTAGACAAGCGGTCTGTATGTGATTACGCACGGCACATACTTTATGTCCGTGGATTACTCACGGCAGGTTTTCCCTTCAAAACATATAAATGTTGCAACTGAATCGTGGTTTCTTGACTACTTACCACAAGTGCTTCCAGTAACGCTTAAGGGTCAAATTGGTTAAAGCAGTAACTGCTGCCAGCTTTAACTCACAGATGTCTCAGTAATGGCAAATGACTGATGCTACAACGGCTTTCGGTTACTTCCTTGTCATATTCCATGGGACAGAGGGAAAGAACGATAGAGAATGAGAGCGAAAAAGAGAGAGAGAGAGAGAGAGAGAGAGAGAGAGGTTTAGGGATCTAAAGAGATTGCGTGAAGCCTCAGAGATTGGCAGAACACGGCTTGTAACCTCCTAGTATTTTGACAGTGAGGAACACAGGCTAGGATTTGCCGATGGTCAGTGACTCATCGAACAAGGTTGACATCAATGAAGCTCCGTGCATATGTGCTTTACGGACAATATTGCTCAGGCTGACTGGTTTAGAATCAGGCTATATAAAATAACTACCGTGCGGAACATGCTGCATTGTGGGTAGCATTCGGGTAAACACATACAGAGTGAGAGTAACAGATAGAGAGAATGAAATAGCAAGAAAGATATATTGAGAGATAGGAAGAAGAGATTAAGAGAGAGACAGAGAGAGAGAGAAGGAGACTTCGCCCAAACCCACTAAGCATAGAGGCTCCCCGTCGGATCATTAGATGTTGAAAACAACGTGGAGTGAACGCAGAAAGAGAACGAAATTCAATATCAACGCGACTAGACCAAAACGATAGCCCAACATGCTGTCAGCCGATTTACGCATACTGTTTATACACGCTCGTATTTTACACCACGTACATAGTATATCCGAACGCTACACCAAACGATATAGCAGAGTTATTTTCATATGATGCAATTGAAAATAAATCTTTGGTCATTTCTTCCAATCTGTGTGTTAGAATAATTGTGTTGAGTAAATGTTTGCCGAATTTGAATAAATACGTAATCCGATCAAAAATCACATCGTCGTGCGAATTTATATTTAAGCCAAAGTTGTTAAGAAATTTCTGTGAAATTTAAATGATTGTAATAACATGGAACGTTTTGAATTTATCAAAAGATTTTCCTGCATTTTGGCGCTAAATTTAATTTGCATACATTTTAAAATTAATACGAAAGTACGACTGAAATTTATCTATCATTAATCAATTCTTTTTTTTGCAGCAACAGCAGACCCGAACAAAGAAAGAGTACGTATATTTTTTTACATTTTGTACGAAGTTCAAATTATGTGAATGCATTGTAAATAATTAGTTATAAGAATTTGTAAGGTATTTCAAGATAACACTTCGCAGTTTTCGAAAATATTCCTTAATATCCGCAATATTGGAGAAAGAAAAAAAAACAAAAAACAATAATAATAATGATATGATAACATATCAAGTAAAAATGTCCCTATTGAAATGATGAAACTGTAATGAAATTAGGAGAACATATGAAATAGTCAATAAGAAAAGCTTGGTAATGATTCATATTTTAACATTTACAGATTCCGCGAAAATATTGTTCTGGCATTGCGTTATTCAGTACTCAAAATGGCAATTGGTCAAAAAATAGGAAAAAATCTAGCGCAAATGACTCGAACAGGTATATGAAAAGATACACAGGTTGAACTATTTTATATATTTGTAAAATTTAAGGAGGTACACGAGTCAGAATGATGTTAGAGAAAGTCTGCTTGACGTAAAAGCGTTATCTTTTACATTGGTAAACGGCTTCTTTTTGTGAGTACAATTAATATTATTCTTAACTACTGTCTTATATTTAATACATCAAGCCGCGCATTTTCAGGTATTTTGCGAAACATCTCTTCATTATTAATATATTTATGAGAGGGTATATTTAAGAAAATTTGTGTGAAATGATTTATGCCAATTCCAAATTAAATTTGCGAAAGAAATTTAAGGTCGTTCAACAAAGTAGTGTATATCTACATGAAAAAAACCAAATTACCAAATTAAATTGATTGAAAAGAAAAACTACTGTTTTCGTCCATTTATTTGGAACTATGGGCATTATAATCCGCATTAAATTCTTTCACTATAATGTTCTCACTGATTTTCTAATTGTTTCGCTTTGAAATATTACCAATATCTTTGTTTGAGATGTTTAGAGAAAATGAGTTCAGTCTCTCTTTACACACACCATAATCTTTAGGCACTATAGGGCATTCAGCACACATTTACATCATTCATTCATGGGTAAATTTAAGATTCACATTTTTAAAGATGTTCTGATTTCATATTCCTGATTGGACAGTGAAATAACTAATGACGAATTGTGTTGTTTCCTCTTAATTTACGAAACTCTTTACTAGGAGACGGTGTTCAACACGAAAAATACTCATAGGAAAAATTTTATATCTCTCTTCTTGGTTTACTGTTAATACGACAAAATTTAAAGTTCTTGCGGAAGAACGCGACTATAGGGCGTTCCCCTTTTGGGAAACGCATGAACATAGATGCACACACACTCACTTACGCACATTGTCTCACTTGACAGAATCTGTTCTAAAATCTTTCCACATACATGTATAAAACACATTATCGTCTTTCTTACTTGTAAATATTTACCTGTTAATACATTATTTGTTTGTACATATATATTGGTTCTCGTTGTCTCTCGACTCTTCTTTAGGTGGACTCATACTACGAGTTTGCCATGTTTATAGTCGGCAGCAGAGAGACAGCAGGATAAAACGATAGAGAGAATGAGAGAGAAAAAGAGAGCTAGAGAGAGAGAGAGAGAGATAGTAAAAAGATATATTTAGAGAGAGACAGAAGAGATTAAGAGGGAGACAGAAGAGATTAAGAGAGAGACAGTGAGAGAGAGAGAGGAGTCTTCGCCCAAACCCACTAAGCATAGAGGCTCCCCGTCCGATCATTAGACGTTGAAAACAACCTTTGTGAACGCAGAAAGAGAGCGAAATTCAATATCAACGCGACTAGACCAAAACGATAGCCAACATGCTGTCAGCCGATTTACGCATACTGTTTATATATACGCTCGTATTTTTACACCACGTACATAGTATATCCGAACTACGCAAACGATATAGCAGAGTTATTTTCATATGCTGCAATTGAAAATAAATCTTTGGTCATTTTCTTCCAATCTGTGTGTTAGAATAATTGTGTTGAGTAAATGTTTGCCGAATTTGAATAAATACGTAATCCGATCAAAAATCACATCGTCGTGCGAATTTATATTTAAAGGCAAAGTTGTTAAAGAAATTTCTGTGAAATTCTAAATGATTGCAATAACATGGAACGTTTTGAATTTATCAAAGATTTTCCTGCGTTTTGGCGCTAAATGTGAAATTTTGCATACATTTTAAAATTAATACGATAGTACGACTGAAATTTATCTATCATTAATCAATTCTTTTTTTTTTTGCAGCAACAGCAGATTGAACGCAAAAGAAGAGTACGTATATTTTGTTTACATTTTGTACGAAGTTCAAATTATGTGAATGCATTGTAAATAATTAGTTATAAAATTTGTAAGGTATTTCAAGATAACACTTCGCAGTTTTCGAAAAATATTCTTAATATCCGCAATATTCGAAAAAAAAAAAAAACAAAAAACAATAATAATAATGATATGATAACATATCAAGTAAAAATGTCCCTATTGAAATGATGAAACTGTAATGAAATTAGGAGAACATATGAAATAGTCAATAAGAAAAGCTTGGTTATGATTCATATTTTAACATTTACAGATTCCGCGAAAATATTGTTCTGGTATTGCGTTATTCAGTACTCAAAATGGCAATTGGTCAAAAAATAGGAAAAAATCTAGCGCAAATGACTCGAACAGAGTATATGAAAAGATACACAGGTTGAACTATTTTATATATTTGTGCAATTTAAGGAGGTACACGTGTCAGAATGATGTTAGAGAAAGTCTGCTTGACGTAAAAGCGTTATCTTTTACATTGGTAAACGGCTTCTTTTTGTGAGAACAATTAATATTATTCTTAACTACTGTCTTATATTTAATACATTAAGCCGCGCATGTTCAGGTATTTTTGCGAAACATCTCTTCATTATTAATATATTTATGAGAGGGTATATTTAAGAAAATTTTGTGAAAAAGATTTATACCCAATTCTAAATTAAAAGAAAAAAAAAATTTAAGATCGTTCAACAAAGTAGTGTACATCTACATGAAAAAAAAAAAAATTAAATTGATTGAAAAGAAAAACTACTGTTTTCGTTCATTTATTTGGAACTATGGGCATTATAATCCGCATTAAATTCTTTCACTATAATGTTCTCACTGATTTTCGAATTGTTTCGCTTTAAAATATTACGAATATCTGTGTATAATACTGTTTGAGATGTTTAGAGAAAATTTCTTTAGGTGGACTCATACTACAAGTTTGCCATGTTTATAGTCGGCAGCAGAGAGACAGCAGGAAAAAACGATAGAGAGAATGAGAGAGAAAAAGAGAGCTAGAGAGAGAGAGAGAGTGAGAGATAGCAAAAAAAAATATATTTAGAGAGAGACA